AGGACCTGGATTTTATTCTAGTAACAATGAGTCCATTCACCCTTTCTTCCTCGTGTGTGTGTGTGTTCCTTTCATTCCATTCAGCAAATTCTTACTGAGCATCTTCTATGCAAAGAAAGAAACACACATAGTATTATCCTTGGAGAGCTTCTAGTTTATTGAATGGGGAAGAGACAGAGGTGCACAGACGTAAAAGATACGGCAAGTGTGGATAGAGCCCCGGGCGAGCAAGGATTAATATTTTATGAATAACTTCTTCTTTCATCGATCTTATCAAGAGCAGTACAGGCCTCCCACTTAGTATTCTAGTGAAGGTTTTCTTGTTGTTTTGCTGCAGCAGGTGGAGGGGGCCATGCAGCTGGGGAAGCAGAGGTAGATGCAGTGTTTGGTGTGCACACTGAGGCCAGTGCCTGGCAGGGCCGTGTTCTGTATATGCCAGGCACAGCTACTAATATGAGTAAGCAAGCGAATGATACAAAAACCAAGTTTGCTGATCCTCAGAGCAAGTACTTGCATGGTTATCCCGAGCCCTCCTCTCCTCTTTGTGGAGGTAGCGGTCATATTTCCCTGTCATTCTCTCTTCTGGCACCTTTATTCACAATGCTCTTCCTTATCGCATTGGATTATTCTCTGGGCTAATTTCTGATTTACATTATAGTTATACACTTACACATTGTCGTGTGTGGGGCCTTACGATAGATAAATAATTTATTTATTTGGCTGTGAGGCTGCGTGAGAACGTGTCTCTGTCTCCCGCTTAGAGAATGTGAATTAGGCACCTAACCGCTCCAATCACCGGGTAGCATGACTGCCCAACAAGCCAAAGGCCGAAGCAGCCAGTGTCTGAACCAAAATGAGGCGAAAGTTCTCTGCCCTTCGTTTCCCCTTTAAGAGAATCACACAGAGCATCCACTTGAGCATTTGCTTTGTGGTGACTTGGGGACAAATGCAGCTTTTAAGTTTCAAAATTTCGAACTTACCTCTCTGAGTGCAACAATCTATAATAATAAAAGCGTAATATGCTTAATTAGACCGGACAGCCGGACGACCTTGGGGGCCAAGGCAGAGGCAGTTAGGGGCAATCAGGCAGGCAAGCAGAGTGGTTAGGGGCGATCAGGCAGGCAGGCAGAGTGGTTAGGGGCTATCAGGCAGGCAGGCAGAGTGGTTAGGAGCAATCAAGAAGGCAGGCGGTTAGGGGCTATCAGGCAGGCAGGCAGAGTGGTTAGGGGCTATCAGGCAGGCAGGCAGAGTGGTTAGGAGCAATCAAGAAGGCAGGCGAGCGGTTAGGGGTGATCAGGCAGGCAGGTAGGTGAGCAGTTAGGTAGGAGCCAGCGCTCCTGGATTGCGAGACAGTTCAGGCCAGGCTAAGGGCCCCCTTCCCCCGACCCCGTGCTTGAATTTTGTGCACCGGGCCTCTAGTAAAGTAATAAAATGGAAACGCTCCCTTTTTTCCCAAGTGAGTGAAAATTCTTCTCATTGAAGAAATCCCTTTGCTGGCAGGAGTACTTGTCTGGAGACATTTGCTGCGACTGCTGCATGGGTTTTAGGGTTCCTCTCTCAGGAGCCCCTTCAGAGGAAGGGTAACGCTAGCCAGAAGGTTTTTAGCACCTGCTCTGTGCAAGGCTGTCAGCCTCCTCCAGGTCCATTGATACATTGAATGCTCAGCACCCTGGAGGGTAGGTGAGATGTCTGTCCACCTCGGCGTGTATCTGAGAAATCCTGCCGTGTTATTTTATTGTCACCCATTGTTTCCTTTCTCTAAGTATAAGCATAACATCTAGCTCCTGACATTCATGCTTATTTTTAAAAATCACATCTACTCAGAATAAGAGCAGCCTTTTCTACTTGAGTATATTGAAAAGGAGATGCCATAGACTTAGTAATTCTAACATTGAACATCTTAATGAATAATAACAATAGGATTGCCACTGCCTCTTTAAGTATTATGTCTCAATAAAGTGTTTGTAAGCAGTTGTTGAATCCCAATCCTAAGGTACAAAACTGACTGAAAATGTATAAATTCTGTCTATGCTATTGAACAATGTACAAATGCTCCAGGGTGACCAGGAGGCCTCGCGGAGGAGGGGCTCTGCATCTGAGGCTGCGTGAGGAGACAGAGCCTGGCCTCGGAATGGCTGAGGGAAGGGCTCCGGGCAGAGCAGTCAGCGAGTGCAAATGCCCTGGGTGGGAGCAAGCGCGGTGGGGCTCCTCTGGGTCTCTAACAGCGTCGTTGTCACCTTGGGTCTGAAGGAATTTTTCATCCTGGTATCTGCTTCCCCCTCCCTCTCCCCTCTCCCCTCTCCCCTCTCCCCTCTCCCTCTTTTATCCTTTTCCTGCAACCTTCTAGTTGCCAGCTCTCACATCATGCTTCTGTCCAGGTGGTTTCTCTGGTACCCTCTCTCCCAACAGCCTGTGTCGTCTTTGTGTGTTCAGATGACCAAACTTGTGAGGTCTGTGCATGAAATAAAAGCCAGAAGTCTGCCCTGGCCGGGTGACTCAGTTGGTTGAGACATTGTCCCATACATCCAGGTTGCAGGTTCAAGCCCTGGTCGGGGTGTGTAAGGGAGGCAGCCGATCGAGGTCTCTCTCTTGCCTCCCCCTCCCTCTCCCTTCCTCTCTCTCTAAAATCAAGTTTTTTAAAAAAGGTCAGAAGTCTCCATGTCAAAGCTGGAAGCCCCCTCCTAGGTTAAATCCCCTGCTCTTTAGTCAGGAGAGAAGGTGACATTGCTGTATGGCAAGCTTTTAAATAGGGATAGTGTTATTCTGTTATTAGAGCTGAGCATACGCTCCTAGAGATTAATTGTTAATTCATTCTTCTTCGTCCTCTTCCTCTTCCTCTCTCTCACCCTTTTGAGTTCTTCACCTTCAGATTGTCGCTCAGAAATGCAGGCAGGGGTGACACACCTGGGATGGGCTGAGATCTGCTAATGTCACAGCCCCTGTTATCCACCACTTTTCTCAGCTGCTATTTAAGGTGACATTTGCTGGCCCTGCAGGTGTTGCTCCTCGGGCAGCTGAAGGAATGGCGCTTGGTTGCACATTTAGGCGTGTTGTTTCTGGAGGGCGTTGTCCTGAGTGATTGAGTGACAGTGTCCCTGGGCGCTCTTAAATCTCAGCCCTTTCAAGTGCCTTTTCCTTGGCTGCTTCTGCCAGGGGCCAAATACCGGAGTGTGAAAAGGGACGTGGGACGTGTCACCCGCACTTAACTGTGATGGAGCTGTCAAACTCGGATGCTTGTAATAACTTTTAAAAGTAAGTGCAGCCCTAGCCGGTTTGGCTCAGTGGATAGAGTGTTGGCCTGAGGACCAAAGGGTCCCCGGTTCGATTCCGGTCAAGGGAAGGTACCTTGGTTGCAGGCTTCTCCCCAGTCCGGGCCCTGGTCGGGGTGCATGCAGGAGTCAACCAATTCATGTATTTCTCTGACATCGATGTTTCTCTCTGTCTTTCCCTCTCTCTCTTCCACTCTCCGTTAAAAAAAAAAAAAAGTGCGAACTTGACACCCTATTAGTTTATAGATGAGTTGGTACAAATTCAGCATAAATCCTGAGGCTTTTTCCAGGGGAAATAGAAGGGTAGCGGATAGCTGGTCTCCTAGAAGGTCACGGCTGAAATCTTCCACAGCCCTTGGCTCATTTGGAGTCAGGAACGCTAAGTGTGCATGGGCATCGATGCCCACTCATCAGCTCCCCTTAAGCCCAGGAGCTGAACGGATGGTTATTCTCTTCCTGAGCAGACCTTGTTTCCTCTCTCAAAAGGGGCTGAGGGGGTAAGCGCCGGGGGAATCATGGGCGAGGCTTCTGGAATGCAGGGGTGCCCTGGTTGAAGTGGCAGGGGCGGGGACCGGTTCTCTGACTTGGTGTGTGACCCGAGGCAGGCTGCTTCACTTCTCTAAGGCCCGGGCTTTCATTTAAAAAAAAAATGGCAATAATGCATCTATAAAAAATAAATGGTGACCACTAGGATTACTTTTTCTAATTGATTTTATTTATTTCAGAGAGGAAGGGAGAGGAAGAGAGAGATAGAAACATCATTGATCGGCTGCCTCCTGCACGCCCCACACTGGGGATCGAGCCCACAACCCAAGCATATGCTCTGACCATGAATTGAACTGTGACCTCCTGGTTCATAGGTCGATGCTCAACCCAATGAGCCACACCGGCCGGACGAGGATTGCTTTGTAAATGACCTTGCCATCGCTTAAACCTGCACGTATTTGCATTTCCCTCTTTCCCTCACACACTCCTGCAACCTACATGTCTTGTCATTTTCTAACCTGGACTCGTCTCTTTAAGCTGGTGGTAGTCCCCCCTTCAGACAAGACTCCCTTAGTGCCTGTGCGTTGCAGGTGCCGTGGGCACGCAGGACCAGGTCGTGGCTAGATCAGGTTCAGGGTCATCCCAGCTCCGCCACACTGGGCCAGTTAGACTTCCTCAGCCTCTGCCTCCTCATCTCACAGCGAGGGTGGACTGATGTCCCGATTCATCCTGTGAGAAGCCACTCAGGCATTCCCCATGCTGTGCTTTCTTAGTAAACAGAATTTTAAAACAAACGGGTATTATGCCTTAAACTTGTTTTAGCACTAAGAGATCCTCAAGTTTAAAGTGCGGTGGAAAGCTCTCGGGGCACTCTTGTTAACAAACTCTGAGTATTTTTTTTCTGGCTGAAGTGACCATCAGGTGATAAGATGTGTTTTGTTCTCCGGTCTACGTCATCCATTTGTTAAGCTTGCTTTTCTCCCATCTGGGCTGGAAATGCTGGAAATTCTCGGGAGGAGGCAGGCGGGTGTTTAGAATGATAACCGACCAGCCGCAGCATTATCCGCCGCCCTCGACACTGAGCTTTGTGGAAGGACGGTGCATTTAAAATGCTTCATTGTTAATAAATACGTCAGCTTGCTGTTGCCGTGGTACTCGGCAAAACAAATGTAGTTACGAATGAGGTTTTATTTTTGAACTCACCACGTTTTTCAACATCTTTTTCCCCTGTGTTTTCTCTTTCAGGCGCTAGACCAAGATAGAACAGCTTTGCAGAAGGTGAAGAAGTCTGTGAAAGCAATCTATAATTCTGGTCAAGGTAAGTACTCGTCAAAGCAGATAACATGAATTATAGGCAGTGTCTGCAGTTTTCTCTGTTGTTTGTAAGATGCTGAGGTTATGGAAGACTTGCTCCAAATGGAAAAAGCAGTAGGTTAAAGAAGTGCAGTTTCTCTCTCTCTTTTTTTTTTCCTCAGTCCAACCCTGCTACTGTTTCCAAAGTAAAAAGTAAAACATGAGTTGCAGTGGGTGATATTATTTAAAAACTTAGTAGATGGTGGATCACTTCGAAAGTTGTATAAACATCTAACCACCCTCCTGTATGCCTGAAAGTAATATGATGTTGACTGTCAACTGTAATAAAACATTTGTTAAATGCTTAGTGAAATTATAGGTAATTTTACCACAAGTGACATAGCAGATATTTAAAATCTCTGTGTCAATCTATAAACCAGTGGCCTCAGTTACACACAGAGGATCTTCCTCTCTGGAGGGTACCTTCCACATTTGAAAATCAGTGAAAGTCTACGGCCATGCTACCCTGGATGCATCCAATCTTGTCTGATCTTGGAAGCTAAGCAGGGTCGGGCCTGATTAGTACTTGGATGGGAGAAAATCAGTGAAAGTCAGAGACGGGCAGGGGGTGGGGGGACGTTAGATGGAGCCCTGGACGCATCTCCGGCTACTCCTGCCTTGTGGCCGAGGGCATGCCAGGTAACCTGTGTAGCCAAATGTTTTCACTCTGGGCCAGTGACTCTGTCACCTTGAAGATAAAAGCGTGTTGTCAGTGGGTAAGAAGGAAACCAAATTAAGATAAGCTGCGGGGAACCAGGGAAGTGAATGGTAGGTCCCAGCGCCCCAGGGAAGGAGAGGCTGGGAACAGAAAATGAGTTTCCAGCTCTCTTCCCTCACATCTCTTGTCAGTATTGCAGTGCCAGCTTGCGGACCCAGCGGGCAGGTCTCCTACGAAATCTCTTCTCTGTAACATAACAGAACCTGAAGGGAGGGCAGCAGGGTCTGATGGGAAGGGCACCGGCTTGAAGGGGGGCACAGGGAGCTTGGCATCCTCGCCCTGCCCCATGCGGTCACTGCACTTTTTGAACATCCATTTTCTCCCCGTAACACGGGGATCGCGGCATTATTACAAGGTTGTTGAAGGGACTTAATGAGCTCATATCTGCAAAGAGCCGGCCACCTCATGGGAGTGCAGTACGTGCCATACACTTACATTTCATATACGTTTTATATTTTATTTACACGATATTCATGATCATCATGAGATTATAGTGCTGGAAGGAACATGGAACGAGGCAGAACTCGGCCCCCGGCTGCTTTCCGGCCCTGCTCTCCTTCGGGCTGGGAACCCCGCCTCCTGAACTGGAAGCCTGTCTCTGGCCCTGAGAGCCCTGAGGCCTGTGACGCTCTATAATCTTCCTGTTCACACTTTTCACACCTGGCTCCTTGGTACCTCTCTCTAATTTCTTATGTCCAATAAAACACTAACTTCTAATTAAGGTAGTAAATGACAGTTGTCTCCTTAGTAGTGACCAAGTGTTGTTTTAAGGCTTGGCCCGAATTACACACCCAGTTTATAACTCCTGTCTTCGCTGTATGTGTGACTCCCACAGGGTGGCAGGCCTCAGAGGCACCCGCTGTCCGGGAGGAGGCGGACGGGTAACTGCGAGGCGGCACAGGGGCCTCTGAGGTGCTGGCATGGTTCTGTTTCTTGACTTGGGGGTGATTACATGGTTATCTCTACTTTTTGATCATTTACCAAATGCTACACTTAGGATTTATATACCTTTTCATATGCATGTATGTCTGTTATGCACTACTAAAAGTATATTTAAAATTTATGTACAAGTTGGTTCATCGAAGCATTTGGAAAAACAGAAAATAAACGGGGGGTTGCTAAATACACAAGTATATTATAAACAGAATGCTATACAGCCTTTATAAAAAAAAAAAAAAGAAACTAAGGCAGTGTAGACCTGAGTTTGAATCCTTGCTTTGTCACCACTTGTTAAAGGCAAGTAAATTATTAACTTCTCTAAATCTTAAACTGCCTCACCACAAAGTGAGAAAATAATAACTGACTTGCAGAATATTATCCGGGCAAAATGAGCTGGTATTTAAGGCCTCTGACGAACTGCCTGCTGCATAGTAGGTGCTTATTAGCACCTGGTGATGGGGGACTGGCACGGAAGCAGTAGCATGGTCCCCTCTGGTTAATTCAGACGTTCCACAAATGGCTGGGCCACTGTGATGTTCTAAAGAGCTTAATGAGCCATCATCTGCCTCAGGAATAAGTGTCACTTCTCCGTAATGTTCCCGTTTGTGCTCCAGGCGCTCGGCTTGTGAGCCGGGAGGAAGGGAGCCCCTGATGTGCAGCTGGGCGGTGCTGCCACGTTGACTGCTTGGAGCTCCATGCGACTCCTTTTCCCCAAGTGTCCTTGCTGAAGACACACTTCCTCCCGTGGCCACATCAGTGAGCGGCTCACGCAGGCTCTTCTGCTCGAGGGCTGTGCTTTTGCTTTCCAGCGTTTCCTTGGCCACCGCTGCCCTGGCTGCAGGAGCGGAGCTCGTCCCTGGCTGTGCGGGTGGAGAGTGCAGGCGTGTGCAGTCCGGTTGCCTTTCTCCTTGTGGTTGGGGCCACAGCTAAGGGAGCTTTGACCACCACCCCCTCCACCTTCACCTGGATTACCTCTGTGTCCTTCACCCTAGGTCTGCACTAGCTTGTAAATTAGCTTCTAGCCACATACGGCTTTTTAAAATTAAATCCATTACAATCATAATTTAAAATTCAGGTCCTCAGTCTCAGTGGCCACCTTCTGTGCTCAGCAGTCACTTGTGCCCAGCCCTGCGGCACAGGCATCTCCACCCCCACACACAGGTCTTGCTGCTACAGAACATGCAACCCATTGTACTGTAACTGTGGCCCAGTCTCTCTTGCATGAGACCAGGGAGTCTCAGCTCTGGCTGTTCTTTAGCATCGCCTGGAGAGCTCTGAACACACAGAAGCCGGGGTCCCTCAGGCCCACGCGCCTAGACCTGTTCCGCAGCAGGGCCCCTGGTATGGGGATGAAAATGAAACTCCTCCCTGGTGACTGGAATGTGCAGCTGGTCTGTCAGCTCCCTGATGAGGACTGTCCCATGTCCTTCATCTTTGTACTTTGTGTGCTTGTCAGTGTAGCTTATTAGTTTGTTCAGCGGATGTTTATTGGCACAGCTACTGTTCTAGGTGTGGGTGTGGGTGTGGGTGTGCTGGACAGTCAGACCGGATCGCTGCCTCCATGATTGTACAGCCTCGAGGGAGGGAGAGGTGTGAGCCAGGTCCTCCACAGAAGGTGTCGTAGTGACACCTGGGAAGTGCCGAGAAGGAAAGCTCCCAGGGCACAGGGGAGTGACGAGAGGGATCTGATGGAGCTTGAAGAGGGTCCTCAGGAGGACCTCTCGGAGGACATGGCATTCGCTGGGGGTTAATGCTCTACTGAGCTAAGCCAGACAAGCCCGTGAGGTAGGTCTCCATTACCCCCATTTTATCGATGTCGAGGTTGAAGCTTAAAGAGCCAGACTAACGTATGCAGGTGCCACACGGAGCAAGTGATGCAGCCAGAGCCTCGCTGGCTCCACCTTTGCTGTTTGCAGGTGCTCGGTGCCCACCTTCTACCTGACCCAGGGCGGGGCTTACCATATGGGGAACGAATTGCTACTTGTTGGCTGGATGGCTCCCTGAGGAGCTCTCCGTGAACGGCTTAAATATTCACGGATCGTGATTATTCGTGCACGCTCCCAGCAATGTGATCCATGGGACGACTTTGGGCGGCGTGGACATGTGGGGACAGACTCAGATCTCACGGACTGCTGGAACCTGGCGGTTTCTGCTGTCACCAACGACTGTAGCACACCCGGGGTTTGGTCAGCTTGTGTGGGCAGCACTAGGACATTTCATTCTTACAAAATAGCTGGATGAGTAAAACAGCGGCCCGGCAGATCTTTCCATGAGACAGGCTCCGTGGAATCCGCCCGGTTCCCGGCCAAGGGCTTTGGCCTCGTCCAAAGAAGCCACAAGAGGCTGCACCCTGGTATCTGTTTCCCAGTGTGTTTTCATAATGTTCTTGTTTTCTCACAGTGCTTAAGTGACACGAAACCATCTGATGCTCTTTAAAGATGTAGGAAGCATGTCTGTGTTTCTGCTCTGAGATTACAACCTCTTGTCTCCCCCACCCCCTTGGATGATTCAAAAGATGGTGGAGAAGGGTGGAGGGTCTTACTCTTAAAAGATGTTTTTATTGATACACATAGGCCTTATCAGTATTATAACAGCAGAAATCTTATTAGGAAAACCAGTATCTCCCTGGAAGTGCTTTAGTTGGAAAATGGCTCTGGGAGTTTGTCTCTTCCTCTTGCTGTCCCTGCTGTGTCTGAGAACATTTTAAAAACAAAACACGAGTTCTGTGGACTCTGTGGATCAAGGGAAAATTCTCCAAGCCATTTGTTTCTCTAAGTTTTGAAGTCTTAACGTTATTCATCTGAGAAGTAGACTGTCATTTAGAACAGTGGTTGCCAACCTTTCGGGCCTCACGGACCACCAGTTGGCGACCGCTGATTTAGAAACTGTGCCTTGGTGTGTGTCCCTCGCCCCCCTCCTCACTCCCCCACTCTCTTCCCTGATAGCACACGCTTTTAAAAGCTAGGAGTTTCTTGAACACGATAGAGATTTTAAAGTAAGTTGCAGTCATTGACTCTTTTTCTTTCAAAAGATGGAGCCTAATTTGCTTCCCCCTGAACGTGGCTCCAAGTGGTGGTTTTAAATATTTTGTCCATCATTTTTCATTGTTATTGACAGGAGCATTAGTCTGCTACGAGTTACTCTTGTCAGATTATCAACTACAGACCTTTAATTATAAGAGTTACATGTGAGTGATTCGCTGATGAAGCCCTCACCGAGCATGTAGCCATAGGGGATTGACAGAACACTCTTGGCTCACAGGGAGGTGATAGTATATGACAGGGTCTGAAAGCGACAAGAAAGTATGT